GCAACTACTGAAGCCCGTGCGCTCTAGGGCCCGCATGCCGCGACTACTGAAGCCCGCACTCAGCAACAAGAGAAGAAGCCACTGCAGTGAGAAGTCCGTGTGCTGCAACGAAGTGTAGTCCCCGCTCGCCACAACTAGAGAAAGCCTGCACGCAGCAACGAAGACCCAATGCAGCCAAAGAAAAAATTCATCAAAATTTAAATCTTTTGCCTGTTAAGAGGGTGAAAAGAGAAGCTATAGACTGGAAAAATATTTGGAAACCCTATATTTGACAAAGGACTCCTATCTAAAATATATAAAGAACTGTCAAAACTCAACAGAGGGCTTCCCTGGTGGCGCAGTGGTTGAGAGTCCGCCTGCCGATGCAGGGGACACGGGTTCGTGCTCTGGTCCGGGAAGATCCCACATGCAGCGGAGCGGCTGGGCGCGTGAGCCATGGCCGCTGAGCCTGCGTGTCCGGAGACTGCTCCGCAACGGGAGAGGCCACAATAGTGAGAGGCCCACGTACCGCAAAAACAAAACAAAACAAAACAAACAAACAAACAAAAAACTCAACAGAAACAACCCAAACAGTCTAATTAGAAAATGGGCAAACAACATGAAGACACATTTCACCAAGAAAAGATATACAGATGACAAATGAAAATAAGCACATGTGGACACTCATCATATAATCTAGCATTTGCACTTTGGAGCATTTATCCCAGGGAAATGAAAACTTAGATCCGCACTAAAACCTGTGCAAAATGTTCATGGCAGTTTTATTTGTAATAGCCCGAAGTTGTGAACAAACTCATGTTCATTAACATGAATGGCTAAACTGTGGAACATCCACATTATGGAATTCAACACACCAATAAAAAGGAACACACTATTGATGCATGCAAGAACTTGAATGGATCTCAAGCGCATTAGGTTGAGTGAACAAAGCCAATCTCAGAAAGTCACATACTGTATGATTCCACTTACAAAGCATTCTATAAATGACAGCATGATATGGAGAACAGATTAGTGGCTGCCAAGGGTTAGGGACGGTGAGGAGAAGGGTGTTGGGTATGACTAGAAAGGGGTGGCATGAGGGAGATCTTCACGATGATGGAATTGTTCAGTATCTTGATTGTGGCAGAGGTTACACAAGTCTATTCAAGTGATAAAATGGCATAGAACTAAACATACACATTGTACAAATGTCAGTTTCTTGGTTTTGGTATTGTATTTATGGTTATATAATATGACATAATGATTAGGGGAAACTGGGCCTCTCTAGTATTTTTGCAACTTCCTATGAGTCAATAATTATTTCAAAATAAACATATACTTTATATATTTTATTCTAAATATATATACATATACCCAGACTTAGACATGTGTGGTCCACTAGCCCCAAGTTGCTTTTAAACTTAAAATTAACTAAAATAAAATTTTAGTTCCTTGATCACACAAGTCATGTTTCAAATGCTCATGTGGCTACCTTATACTATAGCACAAATATAGAACATTTCCATCAACACAGAAAGTTCAATTGGCACAACTGCTTTAGACAAATCAATAATGCCATTTGCCATACGTTTGGGCACCTGCACATTTCTTTTTGTTTTTGGCGGTATGCGGGCCTCTCACTGTTGTGGCCTCTCCCGTTGCGGAGCACAGGCTCCGGACGCGCAGGCTCAGCGGCCATGGCTCACGCGCCCAGCCGCTCCGTGGCATGTGGGATCTTCCCAGACCGGAGCATGACCCCGTGTCCCCTGCATCGGCAGGCGGACTCTCAACCACTGCGCCACCAGGGAAGCCCACCTACACATTTCTTAGTGAACTATCTTAAATTTATAAATCAAAAGACATTAGTATGTACCAGCAAAATTTAAATAGAAAAAAAATGGATTTAATGTGATGCTTTTAAAAGCTACCATGATTTTTGAGACTATATCCCATATTTTAATAAGAAAAGGGAATGAAACATTTGCTTCATGTTTGAAACAGGAATAGGTTGTTTTCCTTATCTGCCAAGGCAGTTGCACTTTCTTTCCATAATCACAATATAGAATATATAGGCAATGGGCAAAATAGAAGGGGTGGACAGGTAGGGGAAACAGGTATCAGCAGGGAAAATACTTTAAACATCCCATATTTTTTGTTATTTTCTGTTTCTTAGTGACCAGTTTACCAATGGTAGCTTACTATTGCAGAGGAAGCATGGTTTAGCGACCAGACCTTAAACCAGAATTCTGTTTCTGGTTCAAAGTGACCTTGAGGGAAGTGACTCTACTCATTCTCATAACTAATAAGCAAATTAAGATAAAACTGACTATTGCTCTGGTGGACTATAGGATAAGTTATTCTAAAATTATTCTAATGTTTTAGGCTATGTATAAAACTCTTCACTTACAAGTAGATTAAATACAAAGTTTTGAGGAACTTACTTATGGCAAGAGTCACATGAAGTAGAAAGAGGAAGTTTGTTTTAGCAGGCATGAACAGTTTTAGTATTTGAGTTTGGGGGTTAAAGTCAAGAAAACTCAGACATAGGGTAAAAGTTTTTCTTATCCTTTCACAGGTTAGTAATTTTGGGAAAGCTTTGGGAGAATGGCAGGCAGTTTGCATTTTAGAGATCAGGTTTTGAAGTTAAAAAGTCCAGGGTTTGAATTGCAGCTCTGCCAGTTACTAAGTTACTTAACTTTAGTTCTCAGTTTTACCATCTATACAGTGGGGCTAATTAATGCCTTTTTGTTAGGGTTGTTATGAGAAGGGTATATAATAATACAGAGCTGTAATTACTGATGATAATATTAATTTTATCAAGACATAGAATGGAATGACAGTGGTGTTAGGAGCAAACAAATAGCTTTGTTTACTCTTATGAAGATTTATTTTTAGCCACATAATAATGGTTTTCTGGGGGGGGGTACTAATTTTGGCTTTATAACAAATTGGTTGATATTGTGGTTCCTAAAGCTGTTCTTAATATGCGGCTGAATTGATCAAAATCACTTGATTTAAAGCCAAGAGGGATAAATCTGTTTTTGTAAAATCTAGCAGACCAAAGTATAAGCAGAAAACTAAGACAAATAAAAGCACACATTTATGAAATTTTATTTCAGTGCAATACCTGTAACATGTTTCTACAGCTGTATTCACATAACATCTGAATGAACAGTGAAAGGGTTTACTTAGGGGCTTCCCTGGTGGCGCAGTGGTTGAGAGTCCGCCTGCTGGTGCAGGGGACATGGGTTCGTGACCCGGTCGGGGAAGATCCCACATGCTGAAGAGCAGCTGGGCCCATGACCCATGGCTACTGAGCCTGCGCTCTGCAACGGGAGAGGCCACAACAGGGAGAGGCCCGCGTACTGCAAAAAAAAAAAAAAAAAAAAAAAAAGTTTTACTTAATTATAAAGATATATTAAAAATCTACAATGTACAATGTGAAATTATCAGAAAATGTTCCATATGAATTTTCTTTTTCTTTGCCTGCTAAACTGCTAAACCATTGAAAAAGAGGTCAAGAACCAGAGCCAACATACTTATTTGGATCCTTCCAGCCCTGGTACAATGTAGCAGAGCAGAACAGTTCCAGTTTCAGCCAGTCGTTCACTGGCATGTGGTCAGTTTGAAGTTTCCTGCTGTATTCCTCTGAACTAGAGAGAAGGAACCAAAAATGCTGACGTCCTCATTTGACTTCATCACTCATGCCTGAGCACATACACCAACAGTTCCTGTGCAAAACCTACCCTGACTCTGCAGAGGACACTCTCAGCCCTCAGCTGATCTGGGTGGGGATGCTGGCTTGGGTTGGTGAAGTTTGGAAAGCATTAGCCCTCGGTTGGATACCTCACACTGTATGAACATGCCATGTCTCATTACTATACCTTTCATTTCATAGAGATAAGCTTTCAGAGCTTATAATAGCCATATTCATTGATAGTAAGTGATTGTTACAGGCCAGTTAGTAGCTCTCAAGACCACCACCCTGTGAAAGTAGTATACTGGATGACACCACGTTTAAGAAAGAGCTAATTAAGAAATATAATGCTATGGAAATTGAACTGAAAAAAATCTATCAGAATATCTGAAATGTATATATCTTGTCTCCCTAATATCAGTATGTCCGTATCTATCCTACCTTAACACTCCTGGCCTCAGTTTTCTTATCCATACAAAGGGAGGATTTCTAAATTTCTAAGGCTTTGTGATTTTAGCATGTGTTTCTCCAAGTAGTTTTCTCCATGTTTCCACTTCTTGGTTCATAAGCTACATTAATGTTTATTTTATTCTACCTGTCAAAATTTCCTCAAGCACTGTCAAGTACTTTAAGGTAATACACTATTTTCAGTTTGTTATTCTTTCAGAAACAGAATAATTTGAAGAAGTGCTGTTGCAAAGTTGTACTGAGTCTAGATATTATAGTTTGATTCTGACTACACCATCTAAATATCACATGAAAGGGAAATTAAAATTTGGGTTATTATGTAAATGTTAAATCCATGTGGCAATAAACCTTAGATGTTTTGAGAAGTCTATGTTATGTGATACATTAGCTAAAATATTGACTTTAATTAGTAATTTTCTCTTACAAGCATGGCAGGGATGGAAAGTTTGCTCATTGGTGCCTCTCCTTTAAAATCCTGATTTTTTTTTTTTAATGAAGAAGTCATTTGGGATTGCTAGTAACCTGGGAAGGAAACAAGGTCCCTTTGCTTGGGGGGAGATGGATATGGTTTTGCTATTCAGCATTTCTTATGACTTTCTTATGACCATGAAAAAATATGCTAAGATTCTTTATGACCTAGTTTTAAAGGATAGTTTGTTATAAATTTAAAGACTCTAACTACAATAAAATCACAGGTAGTTGGCCCCATCCTTCCCATTTTACCACAGTATTCTAGAGTTCTCTCACCACATTTTGAAATACCTTCGTGGAATTTTGAAATTCGTTACTTGCGTAGTTCTTTGAGGCTGCATCAGTGCTAGAAGAGGAGTTATGAAACATAGCTGTGCACTTCCCCTTAGTTCTTTACCATGTTGAACAGAAGATATGTGCGTGTTTGGTGTCTAAATACAGAATGCCTGTAGATTGTACCTACAAGTTGTATATCCAACGAATTCCTCCACAAGCAGGAAATAAGTATGATTAATCAGAAGAATAAAAGGCACTGCTGGATGTTGTTTGAAAGGAATCCTTTATGGGGGGCTGTGAGTATTGTTTTTGCAGTTTCCATTTTTGAAATATCTTAGGTTAAAAACATTTGAAATTTTTGAGTATGCAAAGTATATGAGTAGATGAAGTAACTGGTATTTGTTTATTACTAAATTATAAGTAATTTGTATCATTATTGTAAAATTATCCTGGCTCTTGTCTAGAATGGTTTCATACTGTGATTTTAGCACAAAGATACACTTTTTCTTATTTTCATGGCCCAAGTACGATTACTTGAGATAATGGCATTTCTTCCTGAGGATTCATAGCATAGCAGTGTTCCCTGAGAGCAGTGAAAGTGAACTGTGCTTTAAGTGCAATCGCTGTTGACTTTTCTTAGCTGAGCCTTTTTATTACAACCTCATTCCTTCTGTTTCTAGTTTCTATTTCTCCTTCCTTCTGTTTCTAATATGTAAAAACTACACTCCAAGTTTCTTAGAACTTATTTGTGCACTTAATATTCTCTCATTCATCAGTTATTTGGGGGAAAGATTCCCTCTACTTCTAAAACATCAGCAAGGTACATTGGTAACGCACAAGGTTAAGGATTTCTTGAAATTACATATGATTTATTGGACTCTGAAGTCAGTTGACTTGCCTAGATCCTCCTAGCGTTGTAGCTTTAATGTTCTCATGGTCTTTTTCTATTTTACTGAAAAACAGCGTTAGATGAATGTTTTTTTCAGGAAAACTTTTTTTTTTTTGCGGTACACGAGCCTCTCACCGTTATGGCCTCTCCCGTTGCGGAGCACAGGCTCCGGACGCGCAGGCTCAGCAGCCATGGCTCACGGCCCAGCCACTCCGCGTCACGTGGGATCTTCCCGGCCCGGGGCACGAATACGTGTCCCCTGAATCGGCAGGCGGACTCTCAACCACTGCACCACCAGGGAAGCCCTGGGAAAAACATTTTTAAACAGATTTTTGATTTGTAGTAAGGTGAAAGAAAATAAACATTTAGGTGTACTACTGATAACATTTTGATGTGTTTTTTCTCTTTGTATCTGTTGTTTGGCAAAGCTGAGGTCGTAATTTACATGGATTTTTAAAATCATGCTTTCCCCTTCCCACATAACATTAGATGTTTCACATTACAAAACTTCTTAGTAAAAATTCAATAGCTGTATGATATTCTGTTAAAAAGTAGTACTTTAATTTAGTTAATATATCCTCCATTGTTAGATATTTAACATCTTTCAAGTTTTTGGATTATAAATAACTGAGAGAACACCACCATTTTTTAAAGACTGTCTTTGCAAGGTGCCTTGGGGAGGAAAAATCCCATTGTGTTTGTATTCTTGATTTAAGATATTAATAATATCTATACCTTAGAATTTTAAGGACATTGAATTAGGATTTTAAACAACCGTGTTAGGTTCCATGTTTGTTTAAACTTACGAATCACACATTTTAAAACTTTTACTTCTGTGTGGCAGGGAGCCTATGTGCTAGCTATTTTTCAAATGTAGATGACATTGCTTTCTTCATAGAGATAAACTGGAGTGGTTTCTATAGAGTATTTGCAAATAGGTGATCACTGAGGAACATTGAAAGAGAACTTCCCTAACTAAGGCAGTTTCTTCTATGCCACAAGCCTCATGTGAATGGAAAACTAGATCTATGCATACAGCCATGGGCTATGAAAATACTGGTGCTGGGAAAAACACAGATTCACAAGACTTTAGCCAAAGCCTTTAGTTTTTCTTTGTTTCACTAGGTTAGAAATGGCCTGAGATTCTCCCAATAATTCAGCCACAAAAGAAAGAAAACGCTTATTGTTCTTCGTTCCCATTGTATAGAGGCCCGTATGTCACAGACTTGCACCAACGTGGAGTACTGACCTACCTTGTGGAATGAATGGAACTGAGTTTAGAGTACTTTGAGTTACTTATAAATTCTTAAATGTGTCTTGCATTTAAAACTTCATAGGCATGATGATAAATTTTAATAGAATACAAATAGAGTAATGTGAAAATACAATCAAAATATGGAAGTTTGGAGTCTTATTCTTCAAGTAATTATTTTGGATTGGAAAATTTGATTTCAAGATTTTAGGGGATTTATTTTTTCTTTGCCCTGCTCTACGCCCTCCTCACTAGTTTAGATGGTAATATAAGTTACTACCCGACTTTTCTTTATTATAATGAGTAAAATTTTATTGAACATGTATTATACTTAGAAATAGTCATTTCTCCTAATTTTTATTGTAACTTTAAAATTTAGGATCTGGTTGCTTTTAAACGCCAGATTATATGTATACATATATATTTTATATTAAAAAGAAGTCAAAGTAGGATTTATTATAGGACCTGTAGGTTTTATTCTCTAATGACAAGTATGAATAGAGTTATTTATAAGACCAAAGGGGACTTAGAATTAGGCTGAAAACCACAGTAGTTCAAGGGTTTTTTTTTTTTTGTCCCCATTGTTTTTTAGGCATCCCAACCTGTGTATGCTTCTTCAGAGCGTGCATACAGTGCACACAGTGTTCTCAGGATCAGCTTTGTCACTGAACCAATTGGACTCCTGTCCAGCCATTTACACACTTCTTGGCATTTCTCCTGCACATTTGTTTTCATCTTTCCAACTCATTTGCTCCTCTGGCATTAGGACCAACAGCTGCAGTTGCACATGGGGTCCGTAAAGTAGCTGAATAATAAAATGTTATGACCTGGTTCTTGTATAGTTTCAATGATGACTGTGTTGGTAACTCAGAAATGCTGCAGATATATTTGGCAGGTGAGGTGAAACATCTTTATTTTACAGGAAGAAAGTTTATGTATAAAAAGTATTGGTAATTGGTACTGAGTGATATATCTCCTAAATCCTAGTCTTATTGTTTACTGAGTACCTATTAGACACAGTGCTTGGTGTTATATGCACATTATTTCTAATCCTTAGAATAATCTTGTAAGATAGCTGATATGACCATATTTTTCAGGTGGAGAAAGCAGACTCAATGAGGTTATATACCCATATCTACATATTCAGTATTACATGGTAAATAGCAGAACTGGAATTCAAGTCCAAGATCATCTGTTCCCAAAGATTGTAGCCTATCCATTACACACTGTACAGCAATTTTTTGTGTGTATGAATAGTATTTTATTTCCATTTTGCTGTTGATGAACATCACTTATGTAATGAAAGGTTCTATGAACATTACTGTACATCTTTTAGTGGAATTATTGTGTTATGTGTATGTTCAGCTTTAGGAGACGTTGCCTAAAGCTTTTGCATAGTGGTTTTAGGGTGTGAATATTCTAGTTCCCCTTCCTAGCCAATACTTTGCTTGTCTAAAAAAATTTTAGCTGTGTGGCAGGTATCTAGTGGTATCATTTTGTGATTTTAATTTGCACATCTCTGATTAATGATTTTTATATGCTTATTGGAGACCTTTTGTGAGGTTCCCAATTGAAGCTTTTGTCCATTAAAAAATAGAGTGGGAGCCAAAAGTAAAAAGAGTGAAAAAGAAACATTTAATATAAAGTTGGGCAGCAATAAGTGCCATTAAATAACAAAGAACAAGGTACTAGGATCGATAGAAACGGACAGAGGTGGGGTTGTGAGGAAGGAAAGACCTACCTGAGAAAGTGGCATCGAAGTGCAGATTTGCATGAATTGTGTTACGGAAGCAATAGGAAAATCTAGATGAAACGTTCTAGGCAGAGGGAACTGCAAGTGCAAGGGACTTGAGGCAGGAATGAGGTTTGGCAGTAAGAACTTGGCAGGGAAGTAAGTATTTAAATTCCTACACAACTGTTCAGTTTATGAGGGAAGGGAAGGTCTTTACTGTTACCCACCTCAAACCATACACTCAGTAAGATATTATTTGGCTTTTTCTCTTATTTATAAAGATCAAAGGCTTCTATTCAGTCAGTGGGGTTCCATGTTTGAACTAATAACTTCATATTGGGCCAACTAATTGCTGTATAATATCTAAACACATTTACTGGTGATGTTTTATGAATGTCTATTCAGTGAACATTTATTGAACAGACCTGATTGATTGGATGTATGGAGGAGGGAGAAGGTGGAGAAAGAGTTGCTGATTAAAGCAAAGAAGAAAGGAGTTACTGGAGAGAGTCCTAGGGAACCAGGAGAGTTGGTTGTGAGGGGGCCCAGGAGGAAAGAATGTCAAGAAGGAGAACGAGGTCAGCACTGTCAGGTGCTCCCAGAGAAGTATAGGGGTTCAAGAACTGAATGGTGGGACTTCCCCGGTGGCACAGTGGTTAAGAATCCGCCTGCCAATGCACGGGACACGGGTTCAAGCCCTGGTCCGGGAAGATCCCACATGCCACGAAGCAACTAAGCCTGTGTGGCACAACTACTGAGCCTGTGCTCTAGAGCCCACGTGCCACAACTACTGAAGCCCGCGTGCCTAGAGCCCATGTTCTGCAACAAGAGAAGCCACCACAGTGAGAAGCCCGTGCACCACAACGAAGAGTAGTCCCCGCTCGCCGCAACTAGAGAAAGCCCACGCGCAGCAACGGAGACCCAACGCAGCCAAAAATAAATACATAAATTTAAAAAAAAAAAGCAAAACCTGAATGGTGACCTGTGGGTTTGCTGATTGCAGTGGCCCACTGGCCTTGGTGTGAGTAAGATCAGGTGCATGTTAGACTGGTAGGCTAAGGAGCAACCAACTGGTGAGAAAGTGGAGGCAGTGACCTTGGAGTTCCCACTTTTTGAGAACTGTCAACAAGAAAAGCGATGCGATTAGATAGCTTGACATAAATGGGGCCAAGAGAGAACTTTTTTGTTTTATTGATATTTTGGGGGAAGGGGGTTTTGAAAGAGACGTAAGGTTTTTTTTTCCTGTAACAGGAAGTCATCCTTTGCTATTCTTGCCTCAGAGTAGACAGTTGTGTCTCCCTTCCCCCCTGCCCCTTTAAACATGTTTAAAAATTCTTACAACTATATAGTTTTCTAGGTATTCATAGGGGGTTCACCTGTGTGGTCTAACTGATCTTCTTGAGAGGGAGGTACCAAATATTAA